GTCGACAGACTGGCCCGCGGGCCAGGGGGCGCGCGCGCCCGCAAAGACCGCCCCGACTTGCGGGGGGTTCTTCGGAAGTGGTGCTTCCGCGGCGCCCCGTATCCGACGCCGTTTTCGCACTGCGTTCGCGGCGAGGCTCGCGGCGCGCTCGGGGCCCCCAAGGGCCGCGACCTTGATCGCCCGAGCCTGCGCCCCGCGGCGTTGACCAGTCGCTGTCGGATTATCTGTTCTAGCGCGCAGCGCCCTGGGCAGGGCCCCCTGCTCTGCAGCGCGCGCCTCGCCGCAGGCGAGTGACCGGCGGCGTCGCGCGACGACCTGCGCGAGGCCCATTGCACATTCATGGTGCCGACGGCCCGCGCCAAGCGGAATGCCTGGCGAGTTCGCTTCCATGGCGGCCGTGTCATGTTTTTTCGCGCGGGGCGACCCGAGCTGGCTGGGCTCGATGTCTCGCCGCGCTTGAACGCTCTTGCCACGGGCGACGGCGCGGCCGTGGAGATCGCCGGCGCGGCCCACGAGGGCGCGCTGAAGAGCTTGGGGGCCCTCCGCCCGCAGGGGCGCGCGATCCATCGCGCCCCGCCTCCCCGAGGCCACTTCGTCGACATGTTGAACGTCGACGATATCACGGGCTTCAAGGCGATTCCCTGGCCCGGGCCCGCGCCTCGCCCAACGACCGCCCCCGTCGCGATCGCGAGGTGTTGGCCGCCTGCGACCGCGGATGCCCCCGCGCGGGCCTCGCCCAGCACCCAGCGAGGCGGGCCCGTTCGGCGATTCACAAGGTCGTCGCGGGGGCCGAGATCGAGGGCAGGATGCGCGTCGTCTGCGCCCCCTTGGCGCGGACGGTCGCCCTCTGCAATCTCGCCCTCGTCCAGGTGCACCTCGGCTATTCAGCCCGCGCCGTGCTGGCGTCCTTGGTCGGGCGTTGGGCGCGGGCCCCCCCACTCCGACGGCCCTGGCCGCCGCTCTTGTCCGCGCTGCATTCGTTCGCCGACCCGTTCGGCAGAAGATGGGCTCGGGCGCGATCTTCCGATCCCAGTGCGTGGCGAGCTGCGCGATTGAGGCCTGCCCAGCAGCTTCGCCCGTCGCGTCGGCTGGACCGACGCTGGCCCCCCCGCCCGGCGGGGGGTTGTTTGTCGCGCCCGCGCGTGCCGCTCGGACGGGCGCGGCCCGCGAAGCAACCTTCCAGGTGCTGAGGCAGCGCCGCCACCCCGCCCGGCACGCCTCGTCGCTTCTCGACGTGCGCCGTGGGGCAGCCGCTCGGCGGATGTCGCTGTGCGATGCCGAATCGGCGCTGCCCAGCAGGCGCGGGAGTTCTGGGGAGATACCGAGCGCGCCCCCGCGCCGCGCGTCCGCGGGGCGCGCCGCGCCGCTAGGGGCGCGGGCTGCCGCGCGCGCGCGCGTTTTCGCGCCCCTCTAGCGCGACCCCGGCGGGCGGCGGCGGCGCAGCTGGGGGGCGCGCGCTGCGCGGCCGCCGGCGTTGGCGGGGAACTCTCCGCGAAACGTCGCGGCTCGGTCAGGGCCGCTCGCCCCCCCGGCCCCCCCGCGGCGAGCGCGGCGTCGGGTCCGAACCAGCGCGAGACGCGCGACGCCGGGCGCGCTCGCAGTTAGGGCCAGGGCGCCCGAGGCCGCCCCCGCCTCGCTTCAGGGCCCGTCCGAGGCCGCCGCGAGCGTCGCGTCGCCCATCGCCTCTGAGCCTGCAGGTCATCAGCTCCAAAAGCTGCCGCGCGACCGCGTCGCTCGCGGGCGCCTCGGCCACCGCCGCCGGCCGAGGCCGGCCGCCCCTCGCCGACGGCCGCGCCCTGCGCCCGCGGCGACCTCGCTCCGAGCGCGCCGTCGCCACCCCCCTGGAGCGGCCACGCTCCGCGAGCAGCGAGCCACGCGGGGCGCCGTCGTTCCTCTCGGCGGACCGCCGACGCGTGCGTCGAAGTCCTCGCGCCGCCTGCGCCCGCGGACTCGCCGCCCTGGCGGCGACCGGGGAGCCCTTCGCTTCTTGCGAGCGAGCGCTCTCGATCGCGGAGCGCTGGGCCGCCCGCCCCCCCCCGAGCGGTCGTTTCGCGTTGAACCGCAGCGCCTGGCGATCGCGAGGGCTGGCGAGGCCCCCGGGTTCCTCGCGGAGGACATGGCTCCATCGCTCCGCCCGAAGTACCGCCCCGCGGCGGGCAGGCAGCCTGCCCCCGGGCAGACCAGGGCCCCTGCGCTGCCCACCGCGCACCCTCGCGGCAGCGGTTCGGAGCCCTTCCGGGCGAGGTCGACGTCCTCGGGGGCGTCGCCAGGCCCGGCGGCGGCACCTCATCTCAGAGGCTTGTTTCCCCATTTTTGTTTTAACGCGAGTTGCGAGCGCAAGAAAAATCACGATGTCCGCCTGGGCCCCCGTCGGCCGGGCGGAGATGCGAGCGCGGCGTCGCGCGCGACCCGCCGCTGGCAATGACGCGAATGCGTGGGCGTCGCGGCGGCGGCGACAGCGGCGGCGACGACGACGGCGGCGCCTGCGCCGACGACGGCGACGACGGCGGCAACGGCGACGGCGGCGACGACGAACATCGCGACGACGGGGCCCGGGCCCACGGGCGAACTTGCGCCCCGCCTTCGCTCCGGGTTAGATTTTATGACGGGAGCGATATTTCCGCGCGAAATTTACCCCAGCCGTTTCTCCGCTTCACGAACTCTCTGTTCGTTGTTTTCCTTCTGGAATGCATCGAGCGGCGCGCCAGTACAGAAGCTGCTTCCTCGCATTGGCAGGGCCGCTTCCTCGCTTTAGTACAGCCGCTTCCTCGCTTCAGTACAGCCGTTGTCCCGCTTTTGTAAAGTCCGCGGTCTGCCTCAATATAGCCTTGGGGGCGCGGTGGCGATGCGGGGCCGGGGCCCGGTTGAGGGGCGGGGCGTTTTGTTTCTTGCCGCTTTGCCCCGCGATGCATTTGCTCGAGTAGTCAGGGTAGCGCTACATCGTGTCGCGACGACCCTTGGACGCGTTTTCAGCGAGTCGTAGATGCCCTGACAGAAGATCCAGGGCGCGAGCGCAGGGCGTGGCTCGGCAATTCGGACGCGCCGCCGCGGCTGTCGCGCAACAGAGCAAAAGCACTTTACTAAAAGGCTTGTTTCTTTCAGCAAAAAGCCCCTTCAAAATGATAGTGTGAGTTTATCCAATCATCGGCAAGCAGCCGCTGGGCCGCCGCGCGCCGCGGCCGATGGGCCGCGCAGCCAGCGGGCCACCCAGGGGGGGGCGCTCCTGCAATGGCAAGGCCGTCGCCGCAGTGCGGTAGCTTTGTGCCTCGGGGCCGAAGCCCGCTTCCCTCGGCTTCCAAGCGAGGCGGTCTGCCCTCCTACCCCTCCTCGTCTGGCATTGCGCGTGACAGCGATGCTGTCGCGGCCCCGCTGGAATTTGCGCGCGCCGCCGCGGGTTTGGGCGGGGGCGGGCCCTTCTGGGAGAGCGCATCGCGAGGCCAGAGAGCTTGTGCACGCGCGGTCTTCGCCCGAACTTTCTCCGAGCAGCGAGCGCGCCGTCGAGCTCGCGCGGGCCGATGAGGAGGCGCGTTCGGCCAGAGCCTCGGAGGCCCAGGCCGCGTCGGGTCGCGCGGCGTTCCGCGAGCAGCTTTGCGAGCCGGCTAAAATAAAACGTTCCCGGGAGCGGGCCCTGCCGCCGCTGCCCGCGCGGCCCCTGCGCGCCGCGCAGCCGGCGACCGCGCGTCGATCGTCGAGGCCGCTGTGGCCTCGGCGTCGCGCCGTCGGGGCGCGCTCGGCGGAGCGCCAGCGGCGGGTCCGAGCACGGTTGGGCGAGCCGCGCGGAGACCCCGATGAGACAGCGCGCAGCTGGTCGCCTTGGGCTGGCGGCCCCGGGGAGGCGCCGCGCAAGGCTAGAGTCGTGCGTCCGTTCCTGTTCGCCCGAACTCTTCGTCCAGCAGCGAACGCGCCCTCGCGCGCGCGCGGGCGGGAGGGGGGGGCGCGGCCGCCTGGCACCGCGAAACGTGGCTCGAACTCGCGCGGGCGCGTTCGCGCAGCCCGCGCTGGGCGGCGGCCCCTGCCGCCCACAGACCTTCAGCGCTTTCGCCGGCAACCCGTGCCTTTGATCGGGGCTCGCAGCCGGGTGCGGTCCGAGGACCAGAGGGTCTCGGCGGCCGCTGCGTGGTCTGCCGCCCCGTGCCGTTTTTGCCAGTGGCGGGAGCCCTTCGCGCCTGCCGCCCTGCGGTCTCCCGGCGGCGCGCTGTCGCCCGCTTGTTGTCGAGGCTCGGTTACCGCCGCCTCCTTCGTCTTCGGTGCTCAAGGCCGCGCGGGCTCAAGTTGTTTTCTGTGCTGCTGCCTGCGCGCCTCATATTTGGATGCGAACCTCATCGAGTGGTCCATCTGTTTTGCTGGACGGCCTTGTCACTTCTCGAGGTCTTTGAGCCGGGGGTTCGCTAGCTCGCTCTCGCGGGCTAGACCCAGTCCGCCTGAGCGGCGCCCCCCGTCGCGCGCGCGCGCGTCGGCCCCTGGCCTTTGGGGGGGGCGGTCGCGCGATCGCGCCGTGCGCCCGCGCGGAAACCGCTCTCTGCCGCGCGATCGGGAAACAGTTTCTCGGCCCATTCCCCCCTCCCCCTCTCTTCTCTGGACTGCAGCGCTACTAGCTCGCCCTCGTGGGCGACCAGGCGTTGACCTAGTCCACCTGTGAGCGCGCCGCCCATCGCGCGCGCGCGCGTCCCCCCCTGGACTCTGTGGGGCCGGTCGCGCGTTCGCACCGCGCGCCCGCACAGCGACCGTTTTCTGCCGCCCGATCGGGAGATTGATGATGATGTTGCTGCGGCAGGTGACGATGCTGATGATGATTAGGGAGGGGGATGGAACGTGCCGTGGACAGGACAGAACCGAGGACGAGATCGAGGAGGAGGAGGAGGAGGAGGAAGAGGAGGAGGAGGAGGAGGATAGGGAGGTGGACGATGACCAGGATGAGGAGGACGAGGAGGAGGAGGAGGAGGAGGAGGAATAACCAGGGGGAGAGCGTGAGGTCCGCGATCCCCCCACCCGCTCGCGAGGGAGAGCGAGCTCTCGCAGCTGCAGCAGAGCATCGAGCAGAACCAGGAGGCGCCGCTAGATGTCTCGCCTCCCCTACCGTCGCCGCCACCAACGACGACCACATCCACCACCACGATTTCGAGCATACGCAATGTATGCGTGTGTGGGGTCGGCGCGGGTTTCTTGGGTCTGCGCTGGACCCATGGGCTTTCAGAGACTCCCGATCTACCCTGGTCCAGATTTGCCCTCATGTCGTCTTCGTCTCAGTCTGAGTTCCCTGTCCACCGCCCTCCCAAGGACCAGTCCGACCCGATCGACCCGATTCGATGTCGATGTCGGCCAGCCAGTTTCGACTCAAGTCCGGTATTCCGTCGACCCGATGCGGGCGGATTTTCTTTTATGGCCTTGTTGTGCATCTTGGCGCGGCGGGTCCGATTCGATCCCGACCCATTGCTGGTGCATGCCGATTCGACGCACATTCCGATCCGATCCGATTCCACGATCCGATGCTGACCTCATCCCCCCTTGCTTCCCCACCGTTCCCGTCTCCGCCAATTGAGAAGCAATACTTTTCGGCCCCGCGCAAGAGGGGGCTAGGGCAGGTGGGAAGGCTCCTTGAAGCACCGTGCTTAGAAGGCACGGGCCTTCTCTGTAGATGTAGGGCTGGCACCTTCTGAGAAGCCGCCTCCTATAAGAAGCTTCCCCCCCTCCCCCTACCCCCCTGTGGGCGCCGCCAATACTTGTTGCAACCGCTGCAGTCCAGTATGCGATCTTCGGGGGGTGCTCCAGGCGATCCTGGCCCAAGGTGCCCCGGGTTCTTCGTTCCTCTTTGGAGCCCATGGACCATCTTGGCCTCGTGAAGGGTGCTCTGGGATCCGCGAGGACCTCCATGGAAAGTAACACCGGATACTTCCGGCAACACGTCGGGGTGGGGAGCCAAAAGGAGGGAGGGACCCCGAGATCCGCCGGTGCGTGCAACATTGGAAAGTCACGACCGCAGCCGCCGACCCCATTGTTCTACATCTCTCGAGCCAGATCGATATGTGATGGTCCTGGGGCCGAGACCATTCGAAAACGCCCGACGCCAGGAGTGAACACATTGCAACGTCCAGATCTCTCGGGAGTAGGAGGACGAGGAGGAGGTATGTACCCAGCCCTCTGGGGTCCCTGTGGCGCGCCGCGGACTTCTCTCACACGCCTGGCCCCAGTGGACACCCACCACAAACCGAGGTTGGTGCTGGGGCCGCGGGTCAATGAGGAGGACGAGGAGGAGCAGGAGGAGGAGGAGGAGGAGGAGGCCCCCCACCCCCCCGGCGCCCGCCAGGAATACGCCCGCGTGGAGCGGGCCGCGGAGCAGCTCCGCGCGGAGGCGCCGCGCAGGGCGGGATGGGGCGGGCTGGGCCTGGGCGGCGGCCCAGAAGGCCGCTGTGCGGGGCTTCGGGGCTGAACCACGCAGGGCGCGAGCGGCGAACGCATCCGTATCCGCGCCCCTCGCGGTCTGCGGTCCCGCGGATACGAGGTCGCGCGGATACGTCCCGCGCGGGGCCTCCGCGGAAAAGTGCCGCACATCCGCGGGGTTGCGGCCCAGGGGCCCGGCCCGCGAGGGCGCGGATACGGATAAGTGTTTAGCCCGCCAGCCTGGCAGGTCTATCGGTTTTGTGTTGTACGTCGATCTCACAGAGGCGTTTGACAGAGTAGTGCGGCAGTCCATGTACGGCTGGGGCTACCCAAGCCTTAGAACACGATGCTGGTTCCCTTCGGCCTCTCCTCCCTGACGGCTTCCCTGCTCTGATTGAGGCTCCTAAGGCATGGATGCACCTGATGCAGGACGAGCGCTCCTGGAAGGAGGTGCTGGTGGATCGCATTTTCTTTTGCGACTCGGTATGCGACGCCAGCGCAGCACCGAACCCCACCCCAGGACGCGAGTCCCATGTATGCCATTGTGGTGCCGCATTCACTTCAGCCCGGGGCCTGCAGAGCCATCAGCGAGCCAAGCACGGAGTTAGGCTTCAGATCCGTTGCTGTTTGGCTGGGTCGACGTGCCCCGCCTGTAGCACAGACTTCGTCCAGCGATTGCGACTGATTGCCCGCGTCGCATTGCCCTCGCCTCTCCCATGCCGAGGTTGCGAAGCTCGATGACGTTGACCGCGAGTTACTCCGGTTTGCGCAGTCAGCCGGGCATAGCCATCATTTGGCTGCGACTCCTGCTCGCACTTCTCCTGGCAAGGTCACCGGACGAGCGCGCGCATGAATTCATGCAGTCGTCTTCGCCGCGATCATCTTGAGGCTGCCATTCCTCGCCAAATAGATAATGTGTTTCGCCCGCGAGACGGACTGGAGGAAAGGGGGAAAGTCGAGGGCATTGCATAAGTCTACGGCAGCTTCGCGTCGTGTCGACTGGCGGCGACCCTGCCGCCGGGGGTGCGAGACCCGACGGCCCTGCTTCTACATAACCTCGAAGTACTCGTGGCGTTAGCTCTGTTGCAGACTTGCCCGCGAAATCATTCCCCCTCGTTATCCCCGTTTTCCTCCTCCTCTTCCTCCTCCCCCTCCTCATCCCCATCCTCCCCCCTCTTCCTCATCCTATCCTTCCCCTTCCATAGCTACGTTGGCTCATTTGGCCGTTTTGGTCCAGGCATATCACGTGGATTTTCCAGCCGCAACACTTCAGAACGGCACGCGCTGGCAACCCATTCCTTCTTCTCCCATCATTTTGATACTTCCGTTCTTTTGTCATGATGTCCACTGGATAGGGCGTGGCACTCCCATGGCGGCCACTTCCACCATGGGGGCATGGCTTTCCCCGAGTCGGTCCCAGAAGTTCCAAAAAGCGTGAAGTATTGATATTGATCGTTTTCCGGATTTTCAGGTTTGCCCGTTCTTCCGCGCGGGCTCCACGGACGAATGGTCGAGCGTATTCCGTAGCGCAGGTCATTTGCGCGATGTGCGCGGTGCATTTTTTCGCGCATCGGAGCGCCCTCGTAGATCCCAGGCTGCATTATGTTTTGCTCTTGGGGGCTCCGTGAGCCGCAGCTGCCGTGGCGCGATTTTCGAGGTGGCCCCTTCGAGTGTTGTTCGCGGGCGCAGGGCGCGGCGCGCGCTGCGCCCAGTCGCGCGCGGCTTGGTGCGTGAAACAGCCGGCCGCGCCCATCGGACCGCCCGGTTATGCACGCTTCAAAAAATATGTTCCGTTTTTTTGACGAGCGCGGTTCCGGAAATTTTCAGAAATGCGCCCGCCGCGCAGGACATATGAAGGATTTTGACATCTTGAATTTCCCAAAATTGATTCCGGAGTTTTTGCGGAATCGACCCCAGAGTTTTTCAACATCGATTCTGGGATGGGTTAAAAAGTAGGCTGGACATTTTCAAAAACGCTTCCAGAATTTTCAAATCGACCCCCAGAAAATTGCCCAAAGTCGCGCGTGATTTGTCTTGCCAGGTCTTTGGGAATCCGCCGAGGCGCGCAGTGCGCGGCGGCGGGCGACGCGCTCGGCAACGATGAAGGGGGATCAGCAAGTGCCCAATTGCCCCCCACGGGCGACTACTCGATTGCGAATGGGTGACCTACCAGCGGCGCCAGGCAGAGTAGACAATTCTCGACGCAAAGTGCGCCCCGCGCGAGGGCTGTCAGACATCCTGGAATCCCTGGAACGCATCAATCGCACGCTGTGTCAATAGATTCCTCTCGGTGTAGAAGTGCCGCATGCAGCGGCGGCAGGCGGATCTCGAGGACGGCAGCTGCGACGCAAGCCGCGCCTGCGAGGCTTGCGACGGGCGCGCCCCAAAAGGACGCGCGACCGTTGCGGTGCTCCTCGGGGCGGCTGTCAGTCCCCATGTTGTTCCAGATTATGATGCAGTCTCGGGCAGGCCGACGGCGGGGCAGGGGCCTGCAGCGGCGACGGTGGAGGGGCGCTGCCAGATCGCCCAAGCCCATCCTTTTTGGCCGCGTCAGTCTGGCCTCGTTCCTGTCAAAAGAGGAGCTGGAGAATGCCGCCGCCCTCTTGGGCAAGGCAGGGGGGCAAGCGGCAGGCGCGAAAGTTCAGGGCGGGGCTCAAGCCAAGCGGCGTCGAGGTTCAGGTCCGTCAGCACGCCAGAGAGCGCAGGAGATTGACCGCCTGCGCGACCTTTCGCATGACGGACTGGCGAGGGAGATCGAGGCGATTGGATGCCGTGAGCGCAAGCCTCAATCCCAGTGATGCGGGTTCAGGACGTGGAACTGTAGCAATCAGGGGGTGACCGCGAACGCGCGGTCACCGACGCGCGCCGTCAGGCCGAACCCGCCCCCGCTCGGCGCGGGCAGTTTCCCGCGCCCCTGCAGCTGGCTGGGGTCGCTGGGGGCTGGCTGCCAAAATTTTCGGCCTCGAGAACGACGTGGATTTTTTCGCCGCATGAGAGCGCCGAGGCAGCATCCAGAACCATTCAGCTCACCGCGAGCACACAGCTGCGCGTTAAACAATTCTTCAGGGACGTCCGCGAGCAGTCCACTGAGCTCCACTAGGAGCACCAGGCCATGCCTGCTAGACCCGGGGGGGGGGGGGGAGAACGGGTTCCGACGGGCAGGCGGCTGCAGCTTCGGGAGACAAGCAGAAGGCTTCTGCCGCGCCGCGCGGGGGGCGGAGCCCCCAGTGCCTGGCGGTGCAGCGTCTTCTTTCGCCGCTGTGATGCTGCTCCTGCCGCGCCTGCTTCTTCGGGGTCGATCGAGCAGCGTTCCCCGAGGGGCGTCTCAGATCACGGTCAGGGCAAGGGCGCGGGGCGGGGGCTGGGGGCGCCCCCGGTGAGCTGCCAGGTCTTTAGAAGAATTGAAAACTTACGGCAGCCAGCATCCAGGGCGTCGTCAAGGAACTCGCTCGCGCGGGGGCTGCTCCTCGCGCGCATTGCGGCCTCCAGGCGGCAGGCCCCCCCCCCCCCGGGGCGCGGGCGCCCGGGAAGTCGCGCGCCGCGGATCTGCGGCGCGAGATTCGACCCCCCAGACTTTGCAGCCCATCGCAAATATAGATGCCGCTTCCCCTGGGCCCCCTGGCGAGGAAGCCCGCGGCGGTCGGCGATGGAACCCTCGATTCCACGTCCTGGCCATCATCCAGGCTGTTGTCGCCCAAGTCGAAGGCCGCGGTCGCGCCGCCGCAGCGACGCCGCCCGGTCTCGGACGACGCGCTGGATTCAGATGCGGAGTGGGGCAAACGTTTGCGGCGGAGGTTACCTCTGCGAATCGCGCAGAGAGAGCGGGGGGTCAGCATCTTGGCCAGGGGCGTTTCCTGAGCGTTCTACCCAAGCATCTTGGGCCGCGCCATCGCCCCAGAGGGCCCGGGGCGTTGTCGTTCACCTTTCTAGATCTGATGGGGCAATGCTCCGCAGCATGCGTCGACGCGAGTGCCGGGGCCTTTCCGAGATTGACGTTGCTTGCCATCATCAGCAAAGCTCCTCTTTCGCTCATATTGCAGGCGCCCCCGCAGCAAGCGGCGCATGCATGGGGCGCGAGAAATGGCTGGCATTAGGAGTGGCAGGGCGTCTCCACTGGCGAATGGCCCCGCCGGCACGAGCTCCAACTACTTTTCCTTGCGCGGAGGGTGGCAACGTTCAGGATTCGCGATTGTTTCGTTCGCGGGGGGTCTGGAAAAAAAGCCGCGTCGGAAATCGCTGCTAGTCAAACGAACGTCTCTGATGCCCCCTCGCGTGCCCGTTCAGTTGCGCTTCCATGCCAGGCCAGCGCCCTTGCGAGGGCTGGCTTCCGAAGACCATTTCTGGTCGCGGAAGGCAGAGGATCCCGCGGGCGCAGGCAAGACGCAGCCAGCGCAGGGCGCGCCCACCTTCTTGCCGCGCGCGAGCCAACTTGGCCGAGCAGGAGACAGTCGGGGCCGAGCAGGGCGACATCCCGCGCGCTGTTCCGCGGGGGGAACACCCGCAATTGCGCGGGGTCCCCTTGCTGGCGCCCGACAGGCCCCAAGAGGAGATAGGTTACCCGTGCGCCGCCAGATAGAGCGTCAGCAAGTTTCGTGCGGCATTGCTGCTGGGCGCCGTTGGCCCGAGCTCGCAGCGCTGCAATCTGCGCGGCAGCTTGTTTCGACAGCTCCGCCTCTGGATCGAGGCGCTTCGGAGACTTTCGGCCACGGGCGACTCCCATTCTGGAGCTCGTCGCCCGCGGGGCTGGGTCGACTCGGGGGGGGTCGGGGTGTCGTTGTTTAGGCCATGGGCGAGGTCTTGTAGTTTGCAGCCCCTGCCAAATCTTTGGGTTTAGCCGGGGCTGGGGAGTCATTTTGGGCGGGGCTGACTAGAGGGGGGAGGCGCGCGCGATCATCAGGGGCGCAGAACCATGGCGGCCGACCGCTGCGCTGTCCACCAGAGGCAATATTGTCGCGGATCCGTTGTCCCTGT